TGTGGAGAAAAGGAGAGAGAAAGAGATGAATAAAAAAAAGGAAAAAATATATATATATATTTGTACAATTATTTATAAAGATCAACTTGTGGTTGAATAATGCCGAAAACGCAGTGATCTTCATAAATAATTGCATTTATGATAGTCTAAACCCAAAATATATATTTGTGTGTATGCATGTGCATGTATGTATGTGTAATATATAATGTTGGTAGATGTAGACGGCCCTTTGGACATACATATTTATGTCTATGTATACTAATATGTCTATGTATACTACTATGTAAGTGTGTTTCTATCATCTCTGTGTGTATATGATGGATATAAAAATAATTCTATACTCCCTGACTCACGATCAATCAACTTCATCGTGCATTTTGAGCCTAAACTGAGCCTAACCAAAAACAATGATATGATATTTTCTTTAGGACACACTAACGATGTTATAATGTGAACAATAACTCTTGACGTGGTTTTTTGGTCTTTAGGACGTATTTAAATTGTTTTTATAATAATAATAGTGATAATAATAATAATAATAACGGTAATAATAATAATAATAATTTTTTATTATTATTATAATTTTTCGTAATAGTAATTAGTTTTGACAGCTTGGTATCTATCTACATTACCCACTAATAGTAGTAGTAGTAGAAGTAGTAGTAGTAGTAGTAGTAGTAGTAGTAGTAGTAGTAGTAGTGGAGGCATCAGCAGCAATAGTAGTAGTAGTAGTAGTAGTGGATGCAGCAGCAGCATTAGTAGTAGTAATAGGAGTAGTTGTAGTTGCAGATGGAGACATTAGCGTCTGATAGCGACAGTTGATGTTTTCGATATAGTCACATTAAGATTTGAAAAGGAAGACGTCTGGTAAAAATTTTATAGGTTATTTTTCACACAAGCCTATCTATTTAAAAATGGCTCTGCTTAAAAATAAGATGGCAATGTAAAAGAAGAACATAACATACCCTTGTTAAAAAGTATTGTGACAACTTTTCTTCTCATTCTCTCGCTCTCTCTTTCTCTCTTTTTCTCTCTCTCTTTCTCTCTTTTTCTCTCTCTCTTTACATCTATCTTTCTATTTCTCTCTTTCTCTCTCTCTCCTTCTTCCATATACATATAATGTACAATACAATCATTATATAAAAATAATTTCTTTTCATATCATTACACACTTATTTATACAAAATGAAACAATTTTTTTTAAATCAAATGAATAAATTTAAAAAAAATAATAACGATAGAGGTAGAGGTAGATGTCAAATTGATGAACATGGGAGCGCTCAGCAATGCACGCACACACATGTTAGGACATTTGCATTAAGCTCAGTGGGATATTAGCAGAATAACTAAATCAACGTGTGAATGTACATTTTCATTCATTCATTCATTCATTTATTCATTCATTCATTTATTCATTCATTCATTTATTCATTCATTCGGCCTTTGGTTTATTCTTGCGTTCATTCGTTCGTTCGTTTGTTTGTTTGTTCAAAAATAAATATACTAATTATTTATCGGTACCACTTCCAGTTAAGCTCATTTTAATATTTGTGCGTGTTTGATTCAGGTGTGCTAAGTTTGTGTTTGTCGTGTTATGACGTGTGTGTTGTGTGTGTGTGTGTGTGGTGTGTGTGTGTGTGGTGTGTGTGTGTGGTGTGTGTGCGTGCATTTGTTACAGGGTATATTTGTTAGAGTATGTGTGCAATGTATTTGTTGGAGTGTGTATTGCGTGGTATTTTCGTACGTTTGCATGGCGTGTTTAGTTTGCATTTGCATTGTAATGAGTGTTGATATGTCGTTGTTGTAGCAGCTGCGGTTACTTCTGTCGTCAACCTGTTATGTAGCTACTGTATGTGTTTTTTGTTTTTGACGCGTGTTTTTGAAGCACCACACGTCGATTTTTTTGTGTGTTGTTGCTGCTGCTGTTGTTGTTTCTGTTGTTTTTGTATCAAGGTGTGTATGTGCCGTGTGGTGAGCGCACGTACAAACACGACGCGACACGATAATGGTGTGGTAAGCAATACAGGTAGACGAACAAGCAGGCATTGTGTGTCGGGTAGTTGGTTAGTTAGTTTGTACTAGTTAGTTGTTTGATCTGGACTCTTTGCCGGTTGTCAACGCACTTGTGTATGTGTGTTAATTCATAAGTAATAAATAAAATAAATTACAATAATAATAATAATAACCACAATAATAATAATAATTATTATAGTCCTGAGTACATTAAACTATTTGGAATAGTTCATTTCGAATAGTTCTGTTTGCTCATTTGTTTGTTGTTTGTTTGTTTGCTTGCTTCTGAATATATGGACGTGTGTGAGTGTTCAAGTATATTTTTTTGTTTCTGTCTCTTTCCCTCTCTCTCTCTCTCCTCTCTCTCTCTCTCTCTCTCTCTCTCTCTTTCTCATTTTTTCTGTATGTATATATTATTTGTGTGCGTGTGTTTGTTAGTGTGCTAGTATTATCTATTATGTATCATGTGCCTCACGGTTATGTGTGTGTGTGCGTGAACAGATTCAACATTGTATGTTTGTGTTTTATCGCAAGTGATGCGGGTACCTGCTAGTGTACTCATCACATGCAAATATTTGTTTGTATTTCCAGTACAGCAGAGTATTAGTGCAGTACGAACGGCGTGTACCATTTATTTATCTCTGCCTTGTCATCTTTTTCGTGCCTCTGTGATGATTTCAATTGAAACATCGACATACATTTGTATACAAATTTATTGTATTGATGCGAATATGCGTGTATATTTCTGTGTGTATTTGTTTATAATTTGTATAAATTTGTACCTATTTGTAAAAATTTGTATAAATGTTTATAATTTTTGTATAGATTTTTAAATATATGTATACATTTGTGTATTTTTGCCTAGATTTGTACATATTTGTTTGCCTTTGTATATATTTTGTTTAGATTTGTATATACTTCGTACAGATTTGTATAGATTTGTATCTGGTTGTTTGGAGTTGTATTAATTTTGTATGCACTTGTGTGTTGCACTTTTGTGTTTGACATGCATTCTTGAGAACCTGAGGTAATTGGCGCATTCAATACTAAACGAGTCCTGATTAAACAAAATGGAGGGCTAGTGTCACGTGATGAGGTCACGTGGAATACTACAGGTGAAAAAAGTTTGCGTGCGTATGTGTGAATTAGACGTCTATGTGCGTCTGTGTGTGTGTGTGCGTGTGTGTGTGTGTGGGTGTGTAAAAGTGTAAACATTTTTGGTTGTTTTGTCATTTATCTTTATGCGTGAGAGTGTTTTGTTGTTTGTATGATCAATGTGCTTGTGAGTGCCGTTCATGTGTTTATCCCAAAGTGTGTGTGTGTGTGCGTGTGTGTGTTTTTTTTGAAGTGTGTGCGTGTGTGCGTGCGTGTGTGCGTGTGAGTGTGTGTGTGGTGTGTGTATATGTGAGTTAGAGGAGCGTATATGCATGCATTCATGCTCTGTTTTATATTGGTTTGAGTCTTGATAACATGGCGTGTTCTTTGATTGAAAGTGCAATTGAAACACGCCAATGTGCTGTTCTCACTGCTTAGCCTTCATTCATTTTAGATGTACCTCATAATGTCGTTGACTGTTGTTTACGAGTTGATGTTGTTGTTGTTTTTTTTTTATCTTGTTGCACTGTTGCATGATTTGTCGTTGTAACTTTTTGTTTTGTTTTTTTAGCCTGCCATGTTTTAGTTAACTTGTTGCAATGTTGTTGTTGTTGTTGCTGCTGCTGTTATATTGTTAATATGTTGTTGTGCATTTTGTTGTTGTTTTTGGTTGATTGTTGCCGTGCTGTCTTATGGTGTTTTGTTATATTGTGTATGTTGTTGTTGTTATTGTTGTTGTAGTTTTGCAGTTTTGTTGTTTTTTATATATTATCTGTGTGCGTGCGTGTGCGTGTGTGTGTATCGCTTGTTTGAGAAGTCTGGTCTCATCATATTTGGTGTAACAGCGTGCCAATTGTCTCAATTTCTTCAGATGATTTTCGATTATTTATTCATCTTTTTCACGATAATAATAATTTTAAAAATTGAAATAAAATTTATTTATCCTATTAAAAGTGTTTAAAAACTTGAAACATCGTTTGAGATTCATGGAAACAAAACTTAAAAAAAAACAACAAATTGAAACAAATCCTATCATTGGTAAAACAACATTAACTACATCAACAAAACAACATTAGTGGCATTAACAACACAACATCAGTTGCAGTAACAATGTAACATTAACTATAATAATTAAGCCAACATGTTTACTTACATACATAGTCATATACCCAATCATTGCGTGCCAATTGTCTAGTGAGTAGTGCTCTACTGCATTGGAGTTGTTGTTATTAATGTTATTATTGTTGTTGTTATATTATTACTGTTATTGTTACTTTTAGAGATTTCACTCCTTTTCATTTCATTGCTTCTGATCATTTGTTATTACAACATTCTTTCGTTGTCATTTCGTTCGAGCGCACGCACAAACAACACACGTACACTCACAAACAAACACACACACACTTATGCATACACACACACACACACACACACACACACACACACACACAGATACATACATACATACATACATACACATACATACATACATACATACACATACGAACGTGTACATAGGTACATGTATACAGACTTCTAATATGTTAGAATATCTTGAAATTCTACATAACCGTTTGACATAAAATATCAGAAGCGCTTTTTATTTTATGCTTGTAAAATACCATAATAACATATATATATATATATATATGTATATATATATATATATATATTTATATAGATCTATATTTTTTATTATATATATATATATATATATATATATACGTGTGTGTGTGTGTGTGTGTGTAGTAATGATAACATCAATAGTAGCAATAACAATAATAACTGAAACGAAAGTCCGCAATATATGTAGAATGACAATGAAACAGTAACCCTCTATGTTGTGATTCAGTTTTATTAAAAAAATTTCTCTCAGCATAAAAAATGCAGACATGAATCAAAACCACAAAACTTTTTTCATGCTGATAATGTCGGTCGCCATAACTCGACAACGACAACTGCAACAAAACGCCGTCGACAACTACATTGATAATATCAACAACATTAAAGTCAACAACAACAACATCAACGTCAACAACAACAACAACAAACTACATGGGCCGACATTCACATCAGATTTTCCTAGCGAAGTAATTTCGCCGATTGATCGCCAGACATCAGTTCATTGCTCGGCTTTCGCCACTCCGAGCCCGCACATACAATGGCTCTGGCTTCGAGAGTCAAATTATGAAAATCAGCGCGACACTGGCGCAAACAACATCAACAGCAACGACATCATCAATGGACGCATCAATGATGACGACGATGATGACAACGACGATGATGGCGATCTTAGTAATGATGATGACGAAGTCAGCGCTCAAATTTTTAGCGCAAATAATGTTGAATATGGCCGGGAGGGAGAGTTGAAAAAAAGTTTCCAACTGTTCGAGTTGGTATTTTTGGTCATTTTTAAATAATTTTTTTTAGATAAATTAACAAAAAATTTTTAGAAGCTGTTTGAACATTCAAATACGAAATCAAGTAAAATTAAATTTGCTACATTTTAAAAGTAAGTCATGGAAGCCGGTATTGAAATCAGACTTCCTGCAACAACACAACAACGGAACATTGGTGGTACCGAGTTACCGAGCCAACAATGACGATCGAATCCAGGATAGCGACCTAAACAGACTGCAAGTCTACAGGGTTCGTTGTGTGGCATCTAACAGGATTGGGATCATCGTGGGTCCCGAAATAAGGATTAGAACTGGTTGGTTCAAAGTTTTGTAGTTGGCTGTTGGTTGTTTGGTTGGTCAGTTTGTTTGTGGCTTGTTTGACAAGATGGCTGAAGTTTGAAAGATTAGTATAAATGACTAAGTTATGGTGTATTGAATGTTTGATACTAAATAATATTAAACCAATCAATCAATCACACAACTCAACCACTAATCATCCTTCAACTAACCAATCAAGGAGTAAACCAGCCAATCAATCATTTAGCCAACCAATCAATTATTCAACCAACCAACCAATCAACCAGCTAACCAATCATTCAACTAACCAATCAATCAATTAATCAACCAACCAGTTGACGTCATACAGTATCAGAAATACAACCTTCAACTCGTTGACGTCTTCACTAGCGTCAACAGCACCGCCATCTTTGTTTGCAAAGTCAATCCATTTTTCGCGGTAGATTTTGTCCACGTGATCGCATGGCGGGAAAATAATGGGCGGGAGTTTCGCGTCGGTAATATTGATAATGATAAGTTAGAAAACAACGATATTTTTCATGATCATCATCAGCACCATAACGGCGATATTGATGATGATGAAGACAAAAAAGATAAAATAAATTACGAAAAAGATGATAACAGTAATAGAAAGACCATTAGCAGAAATTACAATGATGGAAGATATAGCATTCTTGATAATGGGGATTTGAAAGGAGCCAGGTTGTACATTAGAGAGGTCAAAAGGTCAGACAGCTACAGGAAGTTTATGTGCGTGACCAGGTGAGTTCGTGGAAAACTTTAATTTCAATTTATCATTTTGATAGCTGACTGTTTCAAATGGCGATTTTTGTAACTTTTTAACAGTTTTAATCGTTTGAATTTTACTTCAAGAAATATCTTGACCGGTGAAGAGAAGCAGAGCGATTACGCCAACCTCATCGTCGTCGGTCAGTCTGGTTGTCAGTCTTCTTCTTCTCGCTGTTATTCTTGCCGCCAATGCTTTTAATGTTGTAATGTAGTTGCTTCACGATCGATGCTGTCTTTGGTGAGAATGTTCCTATAGCTGGAGTAATGAATTTTCCGTATCAAAATTTATTGCTTATCAATTTATAGACATTCATATCCAGCTTTATAATACGACAATTATTTATTTTTCTGTAAAACTTCAGACTCAGCCAACTCAGCTCCAAAAATAGCGGAAGCAAGTGGCTCAAAGGTTTGGGTTGTTGAAGGTGCCAGGGCTGAACTTGCGTGTGCCGCCTACGCTCATCCCCAGGCGCAGTATCGCTGGTCCAAAAATGATGGGACGCTGGGGAGTTCGGTGGGTGCAGGTCATAAATACAAATTACTTGGTGGCAATCTCATTGTTGACAATGTTGAAGCTGCTGATGACGGTCTATACAGGTGTCTAGCGGAGAATTATATGGGACACCAAACTATATCTGTTCAGCTGAAAGTTTACGGTAGGCTGGACTGTTTATTTTTATCGATTGGCTTTTTCCAACTGATTTTTCATTTGTTACAATTATTATTAATAACATTACGACAATCGTGATAATGATAATGGTGACGCTCAACATGCTGCTACAACTCCATGACCAACCGTCGCCAAAATTATTTTTTTAACTATTCATTATAATAACAACCATTTTATTTCAATTTCAATACGGTGACAGCGACCTTGAAAGTTCACACCCAGCCTCACGCACAGTTTGTAGACAGCTCGAAAAATGCCTCCATTACGTGTAAAATAACCGGATATCCGGTCAAATCAATCACGTGGCTCAAAGATGGACGCCACATCGTAAAAAGGAATAGGATTAGTGGAATAAATAACGAAACTTTAAGAATTAGTGACGTCACGAGAGAGGATGTAGGGATGTACCAGTGTGTAGTGATGGGCGGCAAGGAAGAAAGGGAGGTGGTGCAGGCTTCCAGTCAACTGACTTTGGGATGTGAGTCTATCAACTTTTTAAATTATCTCTTAGATATTATTGATGATTGAAACTAAGATTCTTTCTGAACGTCAACGAAATCTCGACTTGTTTTATATTTCATTATATTTCATATTTATTATATTATATTTTTTATTTATATTTCAGCATTATATTTATATTATATTTTATATCATAATATTATATTTCAGCATCTCCGCCATACATTATCAACCGATTGACCGACCAATTTGTTGAGCCTGGAACGAGAATCTCGATATTTTGTACCGCTGTCGGAAGCCCAACTCCAAAAATATTTTGGTACGTCGATGACGAATCGTTGGCCAATGGAAACCACGGCGAGAGGATTGTTGTCGGAAGTTTGACGGGGCTCCACGCATCTGCCGAGCGACAAACGAGTTTCGTTAACATAACAAATGTCAAAGTAGAAGACGGTGGTCGAATGCGCTGTGTTGCAAGGAACAAAGTCGGCATCGATTCGCAGGAGTCGACGTTGAACATCCGCGGCGTGCCGTACGTCAAACCGATGAAAAATGTAACAGCCATTGCAGGCGGACAGCTGAGAATCGTCTGCCACGTTAGCGGGTTCCCTCTCAAGCAGATTTTGTGGAAGAAAGGTTTTGGAGTTTGCTGTTGCTGTTGCTATACTTAGTGTCTTAAAAATGTTGTTGTTGTTATTTTCGTTAATGTTGTTAATCTTGCTAACTACAATAAGGTACATTATGTTTTTTATTTTGAAAAAACTTGATGCCCAATTGTGTCAGGCGTTGTATCTCTTCCGACCAATCACAGACAAGCAGTTTTTGAAAACGGCACCTTATTGGTTCAGCAGGTGAACCGCAATGCTGACGAAGGTTGGTATTGGTGCAAAGCATCCAACGTTATGGACCAGGGCATGGAAAAGAGGGTGTACGTCAGAGTTATTGGTGAGTCAGATGGAATGATGAATGTCTGTTTGTTTGTGTGTTTGTTTGTCTGTTTGTTTGTTTGTTTGTTTGTTTGTTTGTATGTTTGTTTGTTTGTTTGTTTGTATGTTTGTTTGTTTGTTTGTGTGTTCTAGTTTTATCAATCCCGTAATTATTGCTTTGTTGGTGTACACCAAGATTTTTTATTAAATTTTATTTCATTTGATGTAGTATAAAATATTTGCACATTAACCTGTTCAGCTTTAGATGTACGTTAACCTGTTTAATTTATTCATTCATTCAAGTTTTCGTTCATCCTTAGTAGCATTTATTTTTTTCATTCATTCATCGTTTCATTCGTCCATCTTTTTCATCCATTCTATATTTCATTCATCCACTTTCCACTCATCTATTTGTCCATCTCTCTTTCAAATTAGAACCTCCGTCAGTCGATTCGTTCACATTTCCGCGAAGAAAGCTGGGAGATCGAATTTCAGTGTCGTGTGTGATGGGCAGCGGTGACCTCCCGATGACCTTGGAGTGGCGCAAGGACGGTGACGTCATCGATCAAAACCTCGAAGTGAAAGTTCAGGTTAGTGGTGATGATTATGATGATTGGCATTATGGTGATGATGGTGGTGCTGCTGATGATGATTATGATGGTAGAAATGGTGGTGATGATGATGATGATTGCGATGGTGGTAGTGGTGATGGTGATGATAATGAAAATAATATTCAAATGTTTGCAGTGAAATAAAAAATATATGTAACGTGATCCCGACCAGTTATTCCATTGTGGTATCCATTCGACCAATCACGTAGCAGTTTGTTTGCGTACCAAAAATCAGACAACCAATCAAATTACAATTTGCCTCTCTTTTTTTTTACAGCAATCAAACAACCAATCGCAGCAGAGTTTTTTTACTTATTAAGTTACAACCAACCAATCAGCAATCAGGTCCATATTCCAGTTTTCTCTCCATCGAATACGTCACACCGAGGCACAACGGAAACTACACATGCATCATCAGCAACGAAGGTGCATCTAATAACTACACGTCGTATCTACATATCGACGGTTGGGTTTCTTTTCCTTAATTTATTAATTTGAATTATGACATTATCGTTCACACATAACACATTCATTTATTCATTTACGTTTATCCATTCATTCTATCAATCTATCGTACATTCATTCGTTCATTTATTTTTGTATTCATTCATTTATTCATTCATTCATTCATCCATTCATTCATTCATTCATTCATTCATTCATTCTTTCTATTTTTCTTTCCAGTTCCTCCATCTTGGCTGACTGAGCCACAGGACCTGCGGGTCGTCCTCAACCAGCCCGCCATCATCGACTGCCAGGTATATGGCGACCCACAACCTAGAGTTCTCTGGAAGAAAGCCACGGGTGAGTTAATTTCGACAAAATATATCATTTAATTATCGTAATAATTAATTTATATTTCAAATTAATCTGTCATTTATTATATTATGTTTTAATTAAATCGGTCAATTATTATCTTATATCTCAATTGATTCTGTCAATTAATTCATACGTTGTCAGCAGAGATTAGCCATAGTACAAAAATTCAGTGTAATTTGACTGTGGAAAGTTATCGAAAACCCAATTACAAGATATTTGCTATAGAGACAGACAGGCAGACAGACAGACAAACTTGACCTAATTTTACTGCCAAAAAGTAATTTGACCCAATTTTACAACCACAAATTGATAAATTTAAAAGGTAAAAGTGAATGACATTAGCCAGTCTTACCCATTCACGCTTGATTCAATTTTATTCGTCGTGTCAACGTTACGTGTAGTTTTCTACATAAATTTCTTAGGATCGGTTTTATCAAATTGATAGACAGATACAATGACAGATAGATAAAATTATAGATAGATACATTGTTAGACAAATACAATGATAGATACAATGGTAGGCAGATACAATGATAGATAGATACAAAAATAAATAGATACAAATACAATGATATAAACTGATACAATTAAATAAATAAGGCTTCCTTTTTAGTTTGGGTAATGTTACAAGTTTTACATCATTTATGAGGGCTTATTTAAAATAAACTCCTCAGAAATTGTTGTTACCCAACTTAATTCCATATTATTTTGGATGTTAAATAAAATATTTTATTTAATTTTATCGTTCCGACAGCCGGATTGACAAGCTCCTACCAGGATTTAGACTACGACGTCAATGGGGGTCAGAATATCCGGATACTCGAGAATGGGAGTCTATCCATACAATCCGTTTCCACTGGGAATGCCGGCTACTATTTATGCCACGCAAGCAACGATGTTGGAGCTGATCTGAGTAAAGTCGTTCAACTTGAAGTTTTGGGTTCGTTGGCAAATTTTTTAATATTATGTTTTCATTGTTATTTTTTGTATTTTATTCAAATTGTTTGGTGGTGTGTATGTGCGAGTAGAACATTTTCACATTCAAGTGTGGTTTTTCTGTTTGTTGCTGCTTATATCATTTCATCAAACCAAACCCCCATCATCGTCGTCGTCGAGATAGTTTTGAAATTAGAAATCCTTCATTACGCCAACTCAGCTCAGCTCCTCTTTTGGCTGTCTTATTTATTCTTTCCTCGTTTTCATCATCATCATTTTTACTATTATCGCTTTTTTTTACGTCATTATCAACATCATCAATCCTCATCTTTATCATCTTCTTCTTCTTCATCATCGTCGTCGTCGTTGTCATCATCATCATTGATATTGACAACGACGAAATCCTAATCGTTGTTACCTATCCAACGTCGTCGTCATCCACACCGACATCCATGAACTACAAAATATGTCATCCCATCGTACCAATCAATCACCATCACACGCCCTGCCATAAAGTATTGCAGACAGCCAGTACAAATATAATACAGAGTGCTTCAATTGTTAATAATATGACAGCACTCCATCTTAAGTGACGTTGGATTGCTTATTTATTGTTTTGCCGGGCAAACAAATGTCTAGAGACAAATTGATAGACAGCTACAACAATGATAGACTGATACAATGATACAGATACAATGATAGAGATAGATAAAATGATTGGTAGATAAAATGATAGACAGATACAATGATACAAAATGATTGATAAATGAAATGATAGACAGATACAATGATACAGATACAATGACAGAGACAGATACAATGATAGAGATAGATAAAATGATAGACGGATAAAATGATAAACAGATAAAATGATAGACAGATACAAGGAGTGTATATTTAATGATAGACAGAACAAAATATAATGAATATAGCAAAAAAGATACTAACCAAATGACAAAACACAGCAAAAAATTATAAAAATTTATAAAAAATGAGAAAGTTATTAAAAAATAATACATTTTGTGTGTTGTGTGAGTGAGTACATGTGTGTGTGTGTGCGTGCATTTATGTGTGTGTGTGTGTGTGTGTGTGTGTGTGTGTGTGTGTATACAGCCACAATGTGACACGCATTTATGCATACGTACGATACGACAGATGGACCATAAAATCACACGCGTGAGCAATACTTAGGTAGACATCCTCAATAAACTTTGCTTCTTTTTCTCTATGACTCTTTCTTTTTCTTTCTCTCTCTCTCTTTTTCTCTCTCTTTCTCTCTCTCTCTCTCTCTCTCTCTCTCTCTATCTATCTATCTCTCTTTCACCCTATTTTTCTTATTCTTTTTTGTCATTTTATTTGTCTCACATACTCAACAAACAAAAAATTTAGGGAAGAGATAGAGGGAAAAAAAGAGAAAACTAGAAAAAGAGATGGTAAATCTGTGTGTGGTGTGTCTGCCAGTGTCTATACTTGTCTGCTTGTATAGATACGGAGGAAAAGCCTGTGTATAAAAATATATATTAACATACGCAAATATTCTGACTGTATATATTTTCACGCATATGCAAATGCGCTTAGCGTAGCGTGGTGCAACACACACACAAACACTCACACAAATACACACACAAACACACTCACGCACATACTCACACACACACACACATACATATAAATACATTCTAATTACTTTATACGGAGTGCTTTGGATTGTTTTGAGGGTTGAAGCTTCTTGTTTATATTGATTACCATCAAATACCTTGGGACCCACTGCTTATGTATATATGATCTTGCTTGTTCATACACACACACACACACACACACAAACATACATACACACATACATACATTCAGTCATACATACATACATACGTACGTACGTGCGTACATACAAAATGATTAATACCGTCATGATGAAATGTTGATCAAAATAGGTTCACATCTAAAATGGGCTCATAGATATTAATCGAAACGAAATAGGCCTAGGTAAAAAGATACATACAGCTACGCACGTACATACATTCGTACATTCATTTATACATACACACACACACACACATGCATACTTACAAATACAAATACGATGTATGTTCTTACATAATATGTTTATACAAACACATCTACAGGATATCATTTTTTATGTATGTTAAAAAGTTGAAAATAATTCGACTTGTGTGTGTATATAAGTGTGTATTTGTTAATTTATGTGTGTATAAGTGATTATTATCATTACTATTACTGTTGTTATTATTGTTATTATTATTAACAACCGGAATAAGTTATTATTATTATTATTATTACTACCAATGTTATATTTCTACTTCCAATCCAGAGCCAGCTTCGTTCAGCGTTCACGAAGCAAACGTCAGCGTCGTCAAAGGACAGCGGTCCTCTTTGGAATGTGTGGCCAGAGGTATTATTATTATTATTATTATTATTATTATTCCATTTATTATTATTGTTATTTATATTTTTATTATCACCACTTGTTAATTTTCCTGAATAAAACTAAATTTGGATTGTTATCATTATTACTATTATTATCGTTACTATTATCAGTAGTTGTAGTAGTCGCAGTTGTAGTAGTAGTAGTAGTAGTTGTTGTTGTTGTTGTTGTAGTAGTAGCAGTAGTAGTAGTGACAGTAGTAGTATTTTAAAATTCTCTATTTAGTATTTCTCATGTGAATTTGCGTGAAATTATTATTATTATTATTAATATTATTATTATAGTTGTTATTATTTTTCGCATCGTCGTCGTCATCGTCGTCATCACCTAGGTAAACAATCATGTAATGGATATATATGAATTTCTCATTGAATGATAATGACGTCATCGTCATCGTCATCCTCATTTGTTATTATATCACGTGTGGGTTGTTATTAACGTGGCTATAATAATAATTATATTTAATCGTAATTAAATTATAGGGAAAATTGATTTGGTAACTTGTAACACTATTAATTAGGTAATAATAATAGGTACTTATACGGTTTTAATGGTAAATATTTTTTACTATTTTACAACTTTTAAAATTACAAAATAAAAAAATCAACAAAATACTCTCTTAATTGCAATTTATAATTATTTTTGAAAAATAATAAATAAAAATTGAGAATTTAAATTTGGCAGGCGATCGGCCAATCAGCGTAACCTGGACCTTCAACTACAACGGTAATGATTGGACGAGTGACCCAAGGTACCAAATGACTGAATTTGTAACTAAACAAGGTCAAGGGTCAAGATTAACCATCGATCACGTGCTCAGAAATGATTCAGGCTTTTACGGTTGCATGGCTAAAAATAGATACGGAAGTGACGTCACTAGCATTCATCTGTTGATAATGGAAATTCCGGATCCGCCAACCGACCTTGTCTTGATATTTATCGGTCCGGATTGGGTTGATTTAAAGTGGAGCCAACCTTTTGATGGGAATTCCCAACTTTTGGAGTATATTCTAGAACTGAAGAAGGAAACAGGTTGGCAGGCGACATGCGTTAATGGTAGCCAATGATAGGTTGAATGTTGACAATCTTGTTATGATAATAGTGAAAGAGATTCTACTGATGTTTATGTTAATTTTATTTTGTTGCCAGATTCGTGGGATGAAGTTTACCAAACTGTAAACGCCAATCCAAACCAGCAAATCGCCAAACTGACCGAGCTTCGACCCGCCACAGCTTACGAGGCCAGGGTCAAGGCTATAAATAAAATTGGAGTGGGAAAACCCAGCGATCCAGTTTCGTTTACCACTGATGAAAAAGGTATTTATGACAGGAGTTTTTGAGAACAATGATGATGAGAATGATGAGATATTGATTATGATGATGATGGTTGTAAAATGATGCCGATCGTATGATGACGATGATATTGATGAAGATGACCGTGATCAGTATGTTGCTGTTGCTTCAACTGCTGCTGTTTAAGCTGCTGTTTCAGCTACTGCTGCTGATATCAATAATAATATTCTAACGATGAGTGAAATGAATAAGATTGAAAATTTAAGTTTGGTTATTTCCATTTCAGAGCCCTCCGCTGCCCCCACCAACGTCACACTTCAATCTCTGACGTCACAATCTTTGTTGGTCACGTGGACTGTACGTTTATTTATTATTCAAATTATAAATATAGTAATTATAATCACAAATAATTATAAAATTAAAATATAAAATTCCATCTCTAGGAAATCGATCCATCCCATCACAACGGCCAACTTCTAGGCTATCAAATTGCATACAAAAAAACAAATGACGTCACTGGCCAATACAATTACGTCATGGTTAGCCTTGAAGACATTGATGATCAGCAGCAACAACATCAACATTTCCACACACAGGCATACCAGCCGCAGTACGCTTTGAAAAATTTGAGCAAGTACACAACCTACTCCGCCCACGTGACTGCTTACAACAAAAAAGGAAGAGGCCCTACTTCCGGTGACGTCATAGCGGTTACCTTGGAGGATGGTTTGTATTGGGAGGATGGTTTTTTTACGTAAAAATCTTTTGAATATTCATACTAATGTACGTTCATGCATAAATTAAACAAACATGTATATTATAATGTTATAGTACTAAAAATACAATGAACGGAGAATTGCAAAATTTTTTACACAAAGATACAATAAATAAAATTAACTTTTGTTTCTTCTTTTTAAATTTTTATCAAATTTGTCTCCAGTACCCGACAAACCACCTCAAAAAGTTTCAGTGACGAGCCCAAATTCTGAATCCCTATTGGTCAGCTGGTCCAACCCACCATCCAATCACATCAACGGGATTTTAATTGGCTATAAAGTGATGTATAGGATTATCGGTGGTGATGAAGATGATGAAGAAAACGGTGATGATAGTGATAAAACTGGAAGGATAAATGTAGCCACAACTTTATTTTCTAGCAGTGATGACATCGGCGATGATGATGATGTCAGCAGTGATGATGATGATGATGTCAGCAGTGATGATGATGATGATGTCAGCAGTGATGATGATGATGATTTTATCATTGTGATAACAACTGAGAAGCATTTGAAGATAAACGGATTGAAAAAGTTTGGGAAGTATTTGGTGAAGGTGAAGGCCGTGACGAAGGCTGGTGACGGAGTGGCAAGCAGGCCTGTCAGGGTTCGAACAATGGAGGATGGTTAGATGAGCTTTGATGATGATGGTGATGAAGATGATGGTGATAAGAATGATGGTGATGAGGATGATGAGGACGATGATGATACTGATGGTGAAGAATTTCACAATTTTATGATTTTCAAACAATTCTTTTACGCAAACGCAGCGAAACGCAAACAATTTTCACCCAACAGCTCCGGACAAGCCACTGCTTATAAGAACCTACCAACTCAACAAAACTTCCCTCCTGATTTCCTGGGCCCCACCTAAAAATCCAAACGGCGTCCTAATTAGCTACACCCTTCAGATCAAAAACAGCAACAACAACAACAATAACAACATTCAAGATAACTCAAACATCACCACGATAATTGTTCATAGCAGTAATAACACTTACACGTTTGCGGGTTATTCTGCCGGAAGTCAGCAGTTTGTAAGAGTGGGAGCGTCTACGAAGGCGGGAAGTGGGGAATGGACGGATTGGATTCTGATGCAATTAAACGGAAGTGAGAATGAGAAGGATGATAAGGATCAACTTATTGGTGAGCTTGTCAAATTTTTAACATTTTAAAAAATGCTCTCAACGCGTGTTTAGTTGCACAGCGGTTTTGTAACTAATTTTAAATTGAAGCTAAATTTTATGATGAAAATATTTATAAACTTAGAAAAATGATATTATTAAATGTAATAACAATTGTAATTTTTTTGATAATGGTAATTATAATTATTTTAAATGTATGCAGGGGCAAAAATCGTGACCTTTGGCCAAGAAGTGACCAGCCATTGGTATAAAAAGGTCTCATTTGAATGTCTGGTCATAGGCCAGCCACAGCCAACTGTCCAGTGGTTCAAGTACGTTGTTGTTGTTTGTGGCGGTTGTTGTTGCTGATGTCATTGCTGTTGTTGGATACATGTCATTTTTTGTGGTTGTTGTTGTATTGTTGTTGTTTGATATTTTTAAGAATTAGTTTTTATTAGACATTTCTATCATGCCCGTGTACGTGTGCTGTGATTATTAATAAAATATTTATATGGATATAGGAAAAAATAAATTGTTAAATTAATTTCTACAGAGGTGACACCAAGATTGATGTTTCTATCAGCAACAAATATTATCTGATGCCAAATAATACCCTCATTATTTTCGATCTGACTGGTTCAGACGCGGGCAGTTACAAGTGCCAAGCAAAAAATAGTCACCAATCAGACGAAATCGTTCACGTTTTGAATTTGAGAGGTTTGTCGTTATGCCATTTATAATATTTATTATTTTGTAAGTTTAAAGAATAAATTTTTCAAATACTAATGATTAATAATAAATGCTAAACTTTGCCTAACAGAACCGCTGAATCCTCCAACACTGTCATTGGTCGAATCAACAGCCAATAAAATTCAAATAAATTGGCAAACATCAAATATAGTCAATAAAATTAAAAAATTTAGACTACATTACAAAATACAAGACGACTCTGAATGGAGAACGGTCGACCTTGAAGCCGATAAAAGGTCACATATCATTGGCCAATTGGAATGTGGGACAAATTATACATTGTATTTAGAAGCACTGTTCAGGCTTAAGAAAGTAAGGACGGAGTTATTCACAGTAACTACAAAAGGCACAGGTCAGTCACAATTTAACTCGTGTCATCTTCATCGCCGTCTTCATAAGTTTAATTTTTATTCATCATCATCATCTTATCAACAGAACTCTGCCACCATGCATTATAAATTATCGTCGTTTTCAACATAAAAACCGTTAAATTCATCACCATCTTCGTCATCACCAACATTTTCTGTCATCAACATCATCGCCATCAACATCATCGTCCTCATCATCACATCCTCATATCCCTCACCTTCCAGAACCGATGCCACCCCATCATCTCAGTTCGGTGGTCCAGCATTACAACAGCACGCATGTGACCTTGAACTTGACCTCTTGGGGACCTCCTGAATGCCCCGTCAGCTCGTTCGATGTTTACTATCAAGTGCCGGAACAGGGTGGGTGGGCTATGTTCGACGTGCAAATCTTCGATCACAAGGTGAGTTCAGACTACCGAGTTAAAAAATATTAAAAATGTAGTTAAAATATTTTATTATTAGTCAGTTAATTGATTGATTAATTATAAATTAAATTAATAAAAGTAATAAGTAATTTAAAATAAAAAATTGGCAGCATCCTCAAGTATTGGTTATTCCACTGAAGGATTACAACGTACACATCAAGGCCCACAACAACATCGGCTCAACGGATTCTTACGTTTCCCTGACAACAAAAGATGGTTCCAACCAGAACCTCATCAGAAGGCTGGGATCAACCACATCCTCCTCATCAGCTTCCTTCTTTTCGGGTACGATAATGAAAAAGTTGCACATCATCATTCCATCCGTTGTTGGATTCCTCGTGGCTGTTGTCGTGTCGGTTGTGGCTGTCGCTCTTTTCTGCAAGAGGAGGAGTAAGTTGAAAGGTGGTGCCACTTGTAAATACTCTTAAATTAGTTATAAATTTTTATTTTTTAGAATATAATCGTTGTTGTTAGTATAAATAATTATCTGGCTAGCTGCTGTTGTGGTTGTCACAAATCAGTTTATGATATTTATAATATGCTGCACTGTTAAACATTGAGAGCTTAACTTAATTTCATTCTACGACAGGCACGAAAGTGAGTAGATGCGATCCATACACTGGCGACATCATAGTGCTGAACGAGGAAGATGGAGAAATCGTCGTCATGAAACAAGCTTCCAACAGCCGAACAAACAGCAGCCACAGCGTCAACAACAGTGCTACCGGCAGTAGCAGCAGCAACAGGTACCAAGCAAACGGAAGTGCCATTCAAAAATCAAAAAAATTATCCAAAAAAGAACGGAAGCGTCTGCTGAAAGCTGTTGGATGTGACGTCATAATTACAGGAGAGGAATCTCACTTAAGGGTAAAAATTTACGTTTGCGCGTTTCAACAGTTTTCATTTCGTGATTGGTGTTTGATTTTGTTGATTTTCGGATGAATTTTCAAAACAAAAAATAAATAAATTTAAATTTTAAAATTCCAAAATTGTTTTTTATTTTATCTTTTTTATGTTGTCAACATTGAAAGACATGCATCATGTTAAATTAAATAACAGCAATGTGTTCTCCTCACAACAACAAACAGCAGAAACGCCGTCAGAAGACGAAGGATGGCAAGATGCACACCTCCATATCGCAGCAGGAGTGGTACGTCAGCTTCCCGCGCGACGGACTGCCGGATGGGAGCGAGTTTGTAGTTTCGAAACGTTCGTCGGAAGATGTCACTCACGTTTTGGATCTGAAGTCCCATAATCGTGGAGAAAACGTCGATGATGTGATAAGTGGTGACGGAGAAATTTGCATGAACGAAGGAATCTACGGTCAACGAAGCCCAAACTGTGATGGCCTGAATGATGTTGAAGATCATCATATTCATCAACAAAACCAGCATCATAATCATCAACCTCATCATCGTCGTCATCCTCACCGTCACTCCCGATCCGTAGCATCACTATCTCCCACTCCCACTTGCATCCATCAGTGCTACACGGGATCCTCGCCTGGAATTGCAGTCCGCCAGCCTACGAACCAGCCGACAATGCAGTCTGCTGTCTGTACTGAAACTTTGAACCGTTGTCGATGTGAAGCCACTGATGACCAACAATCCAGCAACTACTACCACGTCATCATGCCAAACAACGCTGATGAACCGACGCCAACGACGACAATCCAGCGGCTACAACAAGCGCGCTCGCCACAAATTATTCCTGCTTATTCAACATTTCAACCTCAGCAAACAACTGCTCCGACTCAACGACAGCAAATTCTACCAACATCTTCTGGTGGTTCAGACCAAACCTCATCTCAGACTTTATTGTATCCGTATTCTACATTGCAGATACATCAAATACAGCCACAACTGCTGCTACAAAAACAGCAGCAACCGCAGCAACTACTGCAACTACCACATTTACAACAACCACATCTACAGCAACCACAACAACTCCACACATGTACGTGTGGCGACGACGATGTCGACGAACAATCAGCAAATATTTCAGAGCATTCCTCGGAACGAACATTCAACTCGGAAGACGCTAATCTTTTTCCTCCCCCTCCTCCATCACACATCTTAAATCAGCAGCAGCAGCAGCAACAACAACAACAAAACCAACGACCTCAACATCTGAATCAACAAAACCAGCCACAAAAAATTTATTCATATTTTCCGAATCAAACACAACTCGAACTTACTATTAACCAACGACAACAACAATCACTTGAACAACAACAACAACAACTGCCATTTAACTCAATCTATCAACATATATCTTCGTCACAGCAACAACAAACACAACAAAATCAACAAGAGTATCAGCCACAACAACCACAACAAAATCTACCTAATAGAACGACGCCGTCTATTTCATCGTATCACTACAGCATGGTTTGATGGCGACCCGTAGCAATATCATAAATAGTTATAATATTATTTTAATTAATATTAAAGATAATTAGTGTGATATTATGATAATTAGTATTAATTAATTAATTAATTAATAAGTTAATTAATTAATATAAAATGATTAATTTTTCTTAAATATTAGCAGAGATTTTTCGATTTTAAACACTATTTAACGTTTAACGAGTTGTTATTAATTTATAACCATATTTCCTATTAATAATTAATCACAACTACAAAATTAATTTATTTAATTATTATTAGGTTAACAATTAAAATAATTAATTAATTAATTTTTAAATGTGTAATTATAATGTGATCATATGCTCTTGTGTTGTTTTTCTAATTTTGATTTACTTTACTTTCATAAGTATTTATGCCATATAATAGCGCTTATAATAATGTAAAATATTAATATATGTATGTGTGTACATTTGTGTGTGTATGTGTGAATGTATGTATCTTTATAAGTGTAAATGAGTGTGTATGCACGTATGTGTGTGTGTGTGTGTGTGTCTGTCTGTCTGTATGTATGTATGTATGTATTATTATTATTACGGAAATTTATATACAGCGCTTTTTTATTGTTGAATCTCAAAAGCGCTACTAAATCATAGACAAATAAGACGGACATTCATTGTGCAAATAAATAAGTTTTAAGTTGACTTCGAAATTGTAAATATGATAGGTTAGGGTCACGTAAGTATGGAAGTAAACCATTCCAAACAATCGGGCCAAGAACCACAAAGTTGCGGGAACCCGTCACCAACTTTGTGGTCGGGATAAAAAATAAATTGCGCTCGGTTGATCGGAAGGAATATTTTGAAAAATGAGATTTGTATGATTCCAATCTATCGATGAGGTAGGGAGGTGCTGTATTATTGACACATTTAAACATAAAAACTGCCAACTTGAAGGAAACACGTTTTTCAACCCTCAACCAGTGCAACCTATTCAAAATAGGCGTAACATGATCGAACCACGAACCACCCAAAACCAGCTTGGCCGCACGATTCTGTATTGACTGAAGCTTTGAAAAAGACCTTTTGGTGACACCATAAAAAAGGCCATTGCAGTAGTCTAGTCTGGAAAAGACGAAACCAAGCTTTGAAGAACAGACGTGTTTAGTGATTTTTTGACATTGCGTAATAAACGGAGTTGGTTGAAGCAGACCCTCACTACATTATTAATATGTAAATCCATCTTTAGGTTTGAGTCAATAATAACTCCAAGACTACGGACAGATGTGGAAAATTCAATGATGTCATTGCCGACACTGATCGATGAAATTTTAACCTTCGACAGCTGCTGCCAAGAACCAACCGGTAATATTTGTGTTTTAGATTGATTTAACTTTAACTGATTCATACTCATCCAAGATCCAATTTCGATGAGACAATCAGTCAGTTCATTCAGAGAAACATCAATCGAATCAACAGGACAAGAAACCAATAACTGAATATCATCAGCAAAGGCGTGGGAGCCGAACTCATATTTTTGAATGATATCAAAAACATCAGCAGTGTACATAAGAAACAACAGAGGTCCCAACACAGATCCCTGGGGGACACCAAACGATAGTTTGTTTATGTCAGAGAAGGTGTTGTTGTAAGAAACCTGCTGGGTGCGGTCTAAAATATAGGAAGCGAACCACGATAAGACTGAATCAGAGAGAAAAAAATTTGTGGAGAGTTTATACATGAGACGAGTATGATCGACACAATCAAATGCAGCACTCATATCAAGTAATGCTAAAAAAGAAACGCATTGACTGTCAACTGAAGAGAACAACTGGGAGAAAATATCAATGAGTGCAGCTTCTGTGGAAAAATATTGACGATAGCCGGATTGATTCTTTGGCAACAAATTGTTTTTGTTTAAATGCTGTAACAATTGTTTGATAACAACTCGTTCAATGACTTTAGAAATGAATGAAAGATTAGAGATAGAACGGTAATTTGATACAACGTCGTCGTCCAAATTTGATTTTTTTAGAAGTGGGGTTATAATAGCATGTTTCAAAGGGTTTCAAAATTACAATGTATGTATGTATGTATGTATGTATGCATGTATGTATGTATGTATGTATGTATGTATGTATGTATGTATGTATGTATGTATGTATGTATGTATGTATGTATGTATGTATGTATGTATGTATGTATGTACGTATGCATGCATGTATGTTTGTTTGTATGTCTGTCTGTCTGTATGTATTGTACATATATATGCAAGTCTAATTTTTTTGTGATTATTTTTTTAATTTAAAGTTGAATAAAATCAGTCGAAAAAAGAGTTCAGTTGATGTTTTTATCTCTCAAATAAATAATCTCGCTTCTTATATCTATCTACCGAGTGAGTGGGGAAAAGTTGTGTGCACGTGTGTGTGTCTGTTTGGTTATGTGTGTCTGCTCGTGTGTGCGTGTGATAATAATAATAAATAATAATAATAAATAATAATAATGAAATAATAACAACAATAATAGTAGTATAGAAAAGAAAAGACTGTTCAATATTGGTATTGGTCATAGTGTTATAGCATGTTAGAAAAACGTCAACACTTAACGAGTATTTCAGTAATAAAGAGCTCTCAGAGAATCTAGTACTACTTACGTCGGTTTTTAAAAATCGCGCTACACCATTTCTTTTTATTGATTTCTTTGAAGCCATCACTGTTTTTCCAATCGATATGTAAACAGGAAGGAGTACATATAGTTGCGGAAGCAAAACGTTTAAAAGAGAATTCGAATAATAAATCAAAGTCTTTCTAATATCCACAGTTTTTAAATAAAAATGATGTCATAAAACTTTGAGCATATTAACACAAAACAGATTTCCATACAAAAAATATATCTGAAAACATAAATACAAAATACCAATACAATGCAATCGCTTATTTACAAAGTTGCAAACCTGAAAATATATTCACATGATGAAATGATACATGCACACCGATACATACACACACACATACATACATATACACATATATATGCACACACACACGCACAAACAAACAAACACACATGCACGCATAAATACATACATACACAAACGTATATACACAAACACATATACACGCCTATGTATACAATACATTGCGTATGTCTTCAATCATCATCTATGCTGCTGCTTGGTGAAGATGATGTGGTATGTACGTATGTATACGCACATATATGCGTACGTACATATTATATACCCTCATATTCATATGTGTGTGTGTGTATGTATTCATGTTTGTATGTATGTATGTATGCGTGTATGTAGTATGTATGTATGTATGAGTGAGGGAATATATATATGTATGCCATTTTATTCCTATATACTTACGCATCCTATAAGAACAAGGAGAATTAATACATAGAATGTTATTCAGTGTTTTTTATGTTATAGTGGACTTCATTCAGGATCATTTATATATATATATATATATATATATATATATATATATATATTTATATATATTTATCTACAAAATTAAACTACGTTTGCATGTAGCTGGTTTGTTTATTGTACTTACATACATAATGTAATGTAATATACAATAATACATGTATGCATGTATTATTGTATTAAGTAGTATTGTATGTATGTATTGTGTAATACATGGAATGCATGTTACACTGAAACAAGTTTTTAAAAGATTTAACGTTAAGGACTAAACAAAAACAAAACAAGCTATTGTAATAGTGACAACTATGTTTATTTCCAATAAATATGCATGCATGCATGTATGTGTATGAATGAATGAATGTATGTTGTCTGTCTGTATGTTCTAAACATAACATGGTCTAAAGATAGCTTGTGTTCAAGTTTACAAATAACGTGTTAATACGTTTATCTCTGGTACCTTGTATATGTTTGCCATCAATTTTTTGTCATCACAACATCGTGAATTAGATTTGTTCCTTATTGACTTCTGTTAATTAATTGGGAGCTGGGAAAAGGTTGATGTATTTTTATTACGATTTTATTTTCTTCAATTTTATTTATTTATTTTTTTTTTATTCAAATTTAAATTAACTACGTATCGAATACTTTTTTCGTAAAGAAATGTAAAATTTGGCAACTACAGTTTAAATGATTACATTTTCTTTATAAATATATAATCAATGTGTGATAATTTAACGCGTAATTCATGAAACGAATAAAGTTAATCATGTCAACGCTATTAGCATTGGAGTTCAGATTTTTTTAATTTTGTCAAAAATTTAAATAAAATCAAATCAAATTTTGTTGTGTAAATAAGTGTTACATCAAACGTTAAAAAACATTAACATCGTCTGCCCTAACAGCATAAAAATAACATCAAAATAACATCAAAATAACATCAAATAACAATTAAATAGCATCAAATAGATAAATAATAATATATGACAGCCATATTTAACATTAATTGATTAATAGCTGGTTGAATTGAAATGAAATATGTTATCTGTTGCTTCAGTATATTATGAATGATTTAATGATATGATATGACGTCATGCTATTGCATCATCATTCATCATATACACTCCAATATTATTATTATTATTGTTGTTATTGTTATTATGTATGTGTAATTAGGATGAAATAGCAACAGCTAGGCATCGTTTAAATGTTCTGAATTCAAACTAGCTATCATCAGTCTAGGAAACCTTTTAACAATTATCTCTCTAATTACTTTGCTACATATCATGTTGTTATGTTATTGTTGTTGGTAGTATCGTTATTATTACTACTACTACAACAACTACTACTAATACTACTACTATGACTACTGCTGCTGTTGTTATTTTACGACTGACACTGTTTTCGTTTTTTTTGAAGTTGCGGTTTTTGAATTTTTTATTGTTTTTTTTTATGATTATTACGTTTTTGCATATTGTTAACATTTTTTTGTTTAACTACATGTTTTCTGCCTTAGCGTTAATTACTCCCTCTGTTTCTTTTTGCTGAGACAACAGTTCATATTATGTTCAAATCATTTCAAACAAGCATTCATATCAACTATATCGTGATTGCTTTATTGTATGTAATTAAAATTTTTCTTTAAATAAATTCTGATCAGGTTTTGGCCAGGGAATGATCTGCTTTTCTACTCTTATTGCCACAAAAACAAGAAACAATGTGATGGAGTATTTGAAGACGGTACATCATTAGTTGCAGTCCAAATTACTTATAATTGAAATAACAAAAAAAGCAACAAGAAAAATACTATAGATACTAATAAATGTTGTTATAATTGTTGTTACTTCAATGTCTCGAAGGTCATCAGTCACGACAACAACATCAAACAACACGGCCAACTCAATGCGCACGACGACAACGAGATCAGACAACAGCAGCAACATATTCTACAACTACTACAGCAGTCCTTCATCGAGCAGGTGCAAAATTGAAGACATTCAGAAGAAATTTCTATCCTGTCACGTGTGCAAGGAGTTGTACAGGCAGCCTAAACTGCTTCCATGCTTGCACAGCTTCTGTTTGCCCTGTCTGAACAGCTACGTACCTGACCACAGCCTCTCCCTGGCCTGTCCCATCTGTCGCCAACATTCCATTCTTCCCGTTAGCGGAGTTTCCGGATTGAGAGATAATAATTTTGTGTCCGAGTTGGCAACGCAGTTACGAAATTTTCTTGGAAAAGAAGTTGCAGAAGTTAATGAGAGCTCGAGTGCGAATGTGAACGGTTTTGAACAAAACTGCACAACTATAGAGAATCAAAATGATCGACAAATTCAAAATCTTGAACCTGTTACAAACAGAGTCGGTTGCAACGGGACCGCAGCTAACGCTGGTTCAGGCGGTGACGACGTTCAGAAAAATTGTGAAAATAATTATACAAGCGAGGCCTACATGCAACCGTTCAATCCGTCCGAAACTATGGCGATCACCTGTCTGCAACACGAACAAGTGGACGTGAGTCACTACTGCGTCGACTGTGATACCATCATTTGCGGCGCGTGCATCCAGGTGGAACACAGGGATCACACGATGAAAATTCTCAACGAGTTCGTCGTTGATGAAAAAGTTTCATTAGAAAAAGTTGGCATATTTCAATTGTTTTTGAAATATTTCTTAATAGCAATTGTTTGATCAAACTTTTATCTATACATTTAAACTTTATTCAATTTGTTGAATTTCATTTGAATCTATTGTCATGATTTGCAATTTAATTTCAGACTCTGAAAAAACTAATCAACCACAGCAAGCCGCCGACGTTAGCGTTGAGGAACATTGAAAAGACTCAAGACAAGTTGATGAAGCAGACATTACAATCCGAACAAACCATCAACGAACACTACGGACATCTCATAAAAGCGCTTGAGCACAGAAGAGAATATTTACTCGCTCAATTATTTAAAAAGAGTTCGGAGAAAAAAGAAATTTTAAATTTTCAAAAAAGAAGTGTGGAAAATTTAAAAAGCACTCTTGATCTGTTCAAAGAATCAATTGAAAGTTGTTTAACTCTAATCGACGATCCGGTAAAAATTATTTTGGCAAAGAAAGAACTGCAGGACTCTTTGGAACAATTTTGTTTGATTAATGTACAGTTGATGCCAAATGAAAATCCATTTGTCTCTTTCGACCAAGGCAAATTAAATCATCTGGAAACCTTCGTAAAAACGTTAGATAACTTTGATTCCAATGATCTCGAAAAGCAGGAGGTTCCCGTAAAACTGTCCATTTCTATCTCGGAAGCTGGAACTAATTGTGATAGAGCCGCTAAAAATGAAAATAATTTATTAGATAGTGAACCGCAGCATGAACAATGCAAGCCAAAACCATCCGGTAGAATTTTGTCGACATCTTCGACAGTCTCAACCGCCTCCTCATTACCAAATCAAAAGGAAAATGATAAAGGTGACAAAACATTGGAAGATGAAATCAATGAGTTGAACATCATACCTGCCGATCTAGGTGTTATACTCTGCAGTTCAGCTGTTGCTCACGAAACTACGGCAAGTGGAGAAAATTTAAAAAAATGTCACCTCAATAATCCGGCTCGGGTAGTCGTCACCACAAAAAATTTTAAAGGAGTTGTAGTTTCTAACCTTGGGGCTAAGTTATCAGCAAAGATCACTTATTTGAACACTTCCGACTCAACTGCTTTCAGTGATTCTGCGTCCAACTGCAGCAGCAAGCGAGATAGAAGTTTGTCTGTGGAACGAAATAAAAATAAAACATTAGATTCTGAAATCAAAATTAAGCTGAAACATAACAGCGGTGAAAAAAACTGTAAAGAAAAAGATGATGCGTTAACTAGAGACGTTATAAAATCAATAAAAGAAAGTAAAGTTCATAAAAATATTCTAGTGGTGCCAGAAATATCGAAAATCGATGAATATTCATTTGAAGTAACTTTTACAATTACTGAAAACATAATTAAACCGATACATTCCAGCGCAAACCAAGGCGCCAAATCTGATTACGCAAAATCTGCCGCAACGGTAAATTCACATGAGCCCGGTAGAACCACACCCAATAAATTCGTAAGTCCAAATAAACAAACGCCTAAACATTTGCATTCTTCCTTAGATAAACTGCAATCGGAAAAAAGGAAGAAAGAAGAATTAGATAAGAAAAGACCAAAATCCGCTCAAAACACTGAAATGACGCTCGATGTTGTCCAGCTAGAAATCAACTTATTTGGGCAGCCGATATGTAACAGTCCTTTTACAATTAAAATCAAACCAGAACTACCTGGAACTTCATCAAAAAAATCTGCTCTCAATTCAAACCGTTTGTCATACAACTCGGTGTTTTTAAATTCTTCCAGAAATGCAGCTGAAGTTGATCGTAGAAAAAGTTCCAACATGGATTTGAGACGGGAAACATCTTTCAAGACTTCTCCTCGTCCCTTGCACGCAAACAGGAAACCCAGCAGTGCATCAGCAAGCCAACACGACGGACCGTGCCAACGAATAGGGAGCAAGGGTCATAACAAAGGCGAGTTCATGAACTTGCAGGGAATCGCTGTGCACGATGAACGCATCGCAGTGGCCGACAGCAATGGACAGTGCGTGCAAGTAATCATGCGTTGAAATTTTTTTGATATTCCAATGTCTTTTATATTTTAGCATTAAATCTAAAATTATTATAACATTTTTTTAAATAAATTAAATAAATCATTTGGGCAGATATTTTCTCTGGAAGGGGATTGTTTGTTAAAATTTGGAGTCAAGGGTCGGTCACCTGGTCAGATGCAACGACCGACGAGCGTCACTTTTACACCAGATGGACAAAACATTCTCGTCTCGGATTATGAAAATAAATGGATTGGCATTTACACAATCGAAGGAAAGTTTCTCAGTAGACTCGGCCATGGAAAGTTGGTAGGGCCGAAAGGTGTAGCCATTGATGCCCAGGGAAGAGTAGTTGTCGTTGACAATAAGTCAAGTACAGTGTTTCTGTACACACTTTCCGGAAAAATATTGGGAAAATTTGGACTGAGAGCCATCGATCACGAGTCGTCAGGGCAGCCAGTTGTTAGGAACACTTACGCAGAAGCACAGGCTCGCATGGCAGGCCCCCACTTTTGTGCAATTGATCCTATAGATGGAGATGTCGTAGTCACGGATTTCCACAACCACAAAGTTAAAGTTAGCATCCTTTTACACGTTTTCCGATACAATCTTAAACGCTTCTTTCCAAAATTTTCACTTCGAAATCTGTTATATTAACTTTTTATCAATATCAAACACCATTGATTCTCGTTGAAGGTTTTTACGTCTGAAGGGCAGTACAAATTCACGTTCGGATCGGCAGGAGACGGTAATGGTCAGTTCAGTGCGCCAACGGGAGTGTGCATAGACAGCCAGGGCAACATACTCGTTGCTGATTGGGGGAATTCTAGAGTCCAGGTGAATCGTCGAACAAAATTTATGTATTTTCAAGCATAATTTTATAAGCATAATCCATGTGGAAAAAGTCGTCACCTGATTATTAATGAGTGCAAGCGCAGAAGCACCTTGTCATGCCGTAACCAGCTTCGAATGCACAGCAAACCGCAACTATCATTCACCTACTTAAATTTATGATGTGTTCTTTCAAAAAATTACATTTGCTACGGCTTATCGAACATTAATAAGTACAACAGCACTGTCCAAATTGTGATCATTATTTAGCACTGGCTGGCAAATTATATGATTGGTAAATCAATGCACCTTGGTCATAAATAATACGAAATGCTTGTAACAAACGCTTCAGATTTTTGATAAGAACGGCTCATTCCTCTGCTTCATCGACACCAGCTCCGACCCGCTGTACGGACCGCAAGGAATCGCAATGACCAAGGACAACGACATCATCGTCGCGGACTCTGGAAATCACTGCCTGAAAATTTACAAGCAGCTTCTGTAGTTATCATTTACTGACATTTCAAGTTTATTCGCTTAATTCGTTCGTTACGATTAGTCATCTTCTGATATCATTATACATTTCAACTTTCATGAATTTATTTTTTGTTTTGTTAGTTGACTGAATTTTTTAAAACTCCTTTTTTTGATATTTGGCCAATTTGATTTGCCTAATTTGCGTTTCATTTAAATTTGAAGTTTGTTTTGTTTAAAAACATAGCAAATCATCTAACCTTTCATCTATTATATATGTAATCACGTTGTCAACACCAAGGCAACACGATATCATAACATAACACATTAAACTCATGTGTAAATTAACTAATTCAAACTTCGTAAAAAAGCATCTTTTCTTGTGCAACAAATTTCTATTTAATATTTGCTACATTTTTGCGTGTGA